AAGACACCCTCTGAAGATATATCTCTTATGGGGTGCATGTGCCATACTGTTTGACTCTATCTATGCGCCACCTGTAGACTTGTAAATAAAGCATTTCAACAGAGTAGCCTTAAAGAGTAAAACAAGAAGTCTATTTGCACCTTCCTTCGTACAGTGCTATTGCTCCAACCTTCTTATTTGCATGCACCTTAGGATGCCTTTAGAGGCAAAACAATGGGACTCCAGCAATCTTCATAACAATGACCTCTGAAATGTTTTTAACCGCGAACCCACTATAGGTAGCAGAAAGCGGAAGACAAAGCAGCAGGTGACTTGCCTCACTCTGAGTCACCGCATCATCGTCAAAGGACGGTAATTCAATTAGATGCTTTTAGCATCCTCCCATTTTGTTTACTGCGACCACACTCCTGCTGGCTGCAGTCTCATTTCACCTTGCAAAGCTTAGCAGGGTCAGGCCGGATCAGGGTGAGACGGGAGACTTTGTCTGAAGAAGACCAGGGAGGCAGCGGACGGTTCCGTAAGTGATAAACGGGGGCTAAGTCAAACTGTGCTCCGTTCACAGCTTGGGGAAGCAGAGAAGGGGAGTGATTCTCTCTACCGTGACTCAGCCTCGAGGCAAGAAAAGCAATGCAAAGGACAGGAAAAACCCAAAACCCAGATCCTTTTGGTTCAAGGTATTTCGCTGGAATTTTTTTTTGCAGAGGAAGGAACATGAACAGCTTTGGGTCCAGGTCTTGCATCCAAATCCACCCAGGGGGGTGGGGTGGGGATGCCTCTATTCTTGGAATATCTGAAGTCCACCCAGCAGTTTCATCAGAAGGGTGATTAATTTCCTGCCCAGGAATTGCTGCAGCACCGACTTGTCAAAACAGCTGCTTCCCAACCCAACAGAAGCCTTTCACAATTCAACCAGGAAAGACTATACACGTAACCCCAGACGCTTCCTCCTCTTTGTCCAAGCAGCCTAAAAGGTCAGCAGGAAGCAACACCAGATATCTCCGACACCCCACCCAAAAATGACAAAGCTGAAGTCGTCGAGAACAGGACTCAGGCAACTGAAGAAAACACAATGCTTTGCTTCCCTTCGTCTATTCCTGCTCAAAACAGCAGAATGTCTTGCTCTGGCCCCATTCAGAGGAACCCCGGGACCCCTTGGGAACTTATCTGGCTAATGTCCTGCTGTGAAACATCTGTGTGCCCTAAAATATGCCTCCCAAATCTCCTACAATGCAATATAGATAGGTCAATGCGAGAAGAGTTCCTTTGAGGGACAAGAGTGGAACGCCACTGCTCTAGGGTATACAGTTTCACGGCCAAGATCCCACACCCCAGAAGAAGAGGAAGCTTCCTCATAGATAGCTCAGTTAGTACAGCAGGAGACTCTTAATGTCAGGGTCATGGGTTTGAGCCACACATTGGGCACAAGATTCGTGCATTGCAAGAGGTTAGGCAAGATGAACTCCGTGGTCCCTTCCAATTCTACAGTTCTATGATTCTATGCCAAGTTAGACCATCTTGGTCCATCTAGTTCCCATGGTTCTCCAACTTGGGTCTCCAGCTTCTGCTGTTGGACTACAACTCCCACCCTCCCTGACCACTGGTCTTGCTAGCTATGGATTATGGGAGTCGAAGTCTTAACAACAGCTGGAGACCCAAGTTTGAGAAACACGAACCTAGCTCGTTACAGTACTGCCAATAGTGACTGCAAGGTTTTGGGCAAGGATCTTTCCCAGCCCTACCTTGAGATGCCGGGGAACAATCCTGGGACCCTGTGCATGCAAAGGATATTCCCTAAAACTGAGCTAAGGTCATTCCTTGCCTTGGAGAAGACAAGCCGTGACTCTAATATTGAAGTCAACCGAGGACTTGGCTGTGCGTGAGCAGTCATTCTCAGTAGTAGCACAGCTGATGCCCCAGGAGGATTTGAGCAGAGGATATTAAGGAGTCAGGTTTCTGTTTGTGATTAGAACACCTGGAAACAAGTTTCTTTCCCTACCAGTACAAAGTTTCATGGACAAACACACCCGTTCTCTCCCAGCCCATTCACAAATCTTGGAACGACAGGAAGGCAGAAGAGGCTAAGATAGAGGAATCACAGCAACTCTCCATCAGATATATAATAAACCAGGAAATGTTTTTCAGCCTAGGATACTCTATCATCCTGCCTCCTAAGAAGTAAAAAAGACAGGCCTGAACACACTTCACCAAAGAACAGTGTTTACCTTCTATGCAAGTATGTCTAATTGAATTGCCAATAAAACAACAACAATAGAAGCCACTATATTTTATTATTACCAGAACCTCCCAGAGGTAGAACCAGACATTATGAAAGACGAGTAGTTCTGTGTCTCCAACTCCCCCTTCCTAATGTAATTTTATTATTAATATGTTATGAATTGAATTTATCAGCCACCTTATACCACAGTCCCTGGGTGACATGCAATATAAATTGTAAAGCATCCATCATAATAAGAAACAGCTATAACAAAACCAATTGCAGCAAGCCAGACAAAATTTAAAAGGCTAGCAAGTTTCATTCCCCGTCGATCAGAAACGCAGGTAAATTATGTTTAAAGCATGAGCTAAGATGCTAAGATTATTTTTTTAAAAACAAAAGTCTGCGGGAAGGAAGAAGTTTTCACAACTCAGATCCTGCCATTTCCAATGGTTCCGTATTATTTCCTTCCACCCAATGGCAGGTGCCAACAAGACACAGTTAAATACACCATGAAACAATCCTCTAGTGGAGCGATAGCCAACAAGGTACCATCCAGTGGTTGTTGGACCCCCAAATCCAATGTGCCCCCACTAGCACTGTCAAGAGTTCAGACACTCCAAGCGTCTCTCTTTTCCAGGGACACTCCAGGATTTACAGAAGCCGTCCCGGTTTCTGTTCTGATCCCGGAATATCCCGCTTTTCCTTAAAAAGGTAAAGGGACCCCTGACCATAACGTCCAGCTGTGGCTGACTCTGGGGTTGTGGCTCTCATCTCGCTTTATTGGCCAAGGGAGCCGGCGTACAGCTTCCGGGTCATGTGGCCAGCATGACAAAGCCGCTTCTGGCGAACCAGAGCAGTGCACAGAAACGCCGTTTACCTTCCCGCCGGAGCAGTACCTATTTATCTACTTGCACTTTGACGTGCTTTCAAACTGCTAGGTTGGCAGGAGCAGGAACCAAGCAATGGGAGCTCACTCCGTCACGGGATTCGAACCACCGACCTTCTGATCAGCAAGTCCTAGGCTCTGTGGTTTAACCCACAGCGCCACCCACGACCCTCTGCTTTTCCTTAGGATGTCCCTATTTTCACTGGAGAAATGTTGGAGAGTATGGAGTTATGCAACTCCCAAGCCAAAGAGATAAGTAACTATACAACCCTATGAAGACACTTGAAGGCAGCCCTGTATAGGGAAGGGTTTAAATTTGAGAGAGAGAGAGAGAGAGAGAGAGAGAGAGAGAGAGAGAGAGACGCCTAGAGTGGCTGGGGCAACCCTGTCTGATTATTATTATTGTGGAATAGGGCTTCCCTATTTTCTTTTCTTTCTTTAAATTTTTTATTTTATTTACAACATAGTCCACAACAACTCATACATACATACAAACAAACAAACAAACAAACAAACCAACCCACCACCATTGACAATTTAATTATCAAACTTAAACTCCTATCCCCTTACACAAAGAACACATAACATAAAAATAAAAGACTTCCTTTATCCTGTAAATGGCCTCCTTATTTACTTCTTGTGTACTGCTCCTTTTATATGCGATTATTACAATTTTTCCTAATTGTGACTTAAAAGCCCCCGCAAAGTCTCCTATAGAAATTAATCAAAACAAGTCCAGGTGTATACTTTGGGGGACTGTTTGGTAAAGCATTCTCTGCATTTTCCCCATTCTTTTTGGAATTCTGGTCTAGGTTGTCCCCTAATTGTCTCTGTTAATCTGGCCAATTCAGTATAATCTAAGGACATCCCTATTTTCATCGGATAAAGGTTGGGGGGTATGAGATTTTGGTACGATGGAAGGGACAGTCTAGCAATAACTGGAGGCCCCACCATGTTGACTAGCTCTGCTCTACTGTTTCAGCAACTTACCCCCAACAAATTCTGACTTCTCCTCCCTGCAACCCATGTACACACTCTCAAATTCCAGAAAGCTCTCCTCTTTAGTAATTAAGGCCATCTAGGGCCACCGGAAGTCTCCTCATTCTCATTTATCTAACTGTGGAAAAGAGAGCTGATTCAAGAAAGGGAATAAAGGGCTTCAACTCCATGAGGGTAGAATCGCCATTAAGAAATATATTACATTGTTGTGTAAGCTGAGAAGCTTCTTTTAACAGCCCATTAGAATCCGCTGGTGGGAACACAGGTAATAAATAATGGCAGGAAAAAAGGTCCCAGCAGAGCTGTTGTATTCGCAATAGCACTGATGGGTTTACACACAGAGTTTTCAACAGGAGTGATGCACACATCCCCAAGGGAAATTAAGCCTCAAAACAGGTTACAGGGGAATATTAAGCCTAGAGGCATTAATCCTGAAAATAAAGGGCAAGCTTTGAAAATCGATGCATCTCACCAGTTAATCAACTGAAGCTTTAATCTAAGATTAAAATCCCCCCACACTGATCTTTCAGGAAGCAAGTGAGAAAAATATCTGGAGTTTTGGCACCCTCATCAAAACTACCAACTCCAGAGACCATCTTGGCTGTGAGTTCTGGAAGGCCTAGTTCCCTCCCATACAGGCCTTTTCCCACCTGGCTGGGGACTGACTCCAGCTACAAAAAGCGGAGGCTGCTGAACAGACTCTTAAGTTGAGGAATTGTTTTGGGGGTTCTTCCTGTTGTTGAAGTTAATTTTTTGTATCTTTAGCTCTGGATCTTATGATTTGTGTTGAAACTGATCGATTTTGTTTATGACTTTTGCTACGGACTCGCAGAATTGTAGAGTTGGACGGGGCCACGAGGGTCACTTAGTCCAACCCTCTGCAATGCCAGAATCTTTGGCCCACCATGAATCTCGAACCCTCAACCTTGAGATGAAGAGTCTCATGCTCTACCGACTGAGCTATGTTGGCTATGTTTGTAGTTATGTGATTTAAAAATAATAATGTTGTAAGCCGCCTTGAACATGGAAAGGTGGCGTACTAATAAAATTGATTTGACTAGTTGATTTTTAACCAGTCTTCTGGGTTAAACTAGTTTAAACTTGGGAATATAAGAAGCTGCCTTATACTGATAAAAGAACATTGGGTTCATCAACTCAATATTGTCCACTCTGACCGAAAGCAGCTCTCTAGGGTTTCAGACAAGGGGCGTTCCCAGCCGTAGCAGGAGATGTCAGGGATTGAATCTGGGACCACGTGCTACTCAGCTACAGTGCTACCTCAGGTTACATACGCTTCAGGTTACAGACTCCGCTAACCCAGAAATAGTGCTTCAGGTTAAGAACTTTGCTTCAGGATGAGAACAGAAATCGTGCTCCGGCGGCGCAGCAGCAGCAGGAGGCCCCATTAGCTAAAGTGGTGCTTCAGGTTAAGAACAGTTTCAGGTTAAGTACGGACCTCTGGAACGAATTAAGTACTTAACCTGAGGCACCACTGTACAGCCTTTCCCTTCATATGCTGAAGAACACTTTCTTTCTTTCTTTCGTTCTTTCTTTCTTTCTTTCTTTCTTTCACCAAGCTTATCAAATTGAAACTCTTAAGTTGCCATTTAAAGAAAAATGGTCCCATTCCGCCAGAAGCCTCAAAAAGGGACGACTCGTGATGCTGGTTTTGCAGGAAGCAAGTTTTATTTTGATATAATTATGTGCTTAAAAGCTGGGCAGTTATCTTTGAAGCCGAGGCAAGTCCTATTTTGAATTGCTAAGGCACCATCCCAACGAGCCCATAAGCAGATAGCAATTGCTGCTGGTTGAGCAGATGAAAAAGGCAGTCAAGGGAATTCCAAGCCCACAAACATTTTGCCTCTCATCACCCTTAAGGAAAAACTCTTCTGTTTCAAACAGCACAGAAGCACAGGGCAGACTTCACTCTGCAACCCAAAAAGTTTTAGGCTGCCGGACTACAACTCCCATCATCCCCCCAAAGTTTGGCCAGGCTGGCTAGAGCCGAAGGGAGCTCATATCCAACAACTTCTATGGGTTACAAGGTTCCCCACCTGTCTTTAAGGAATGTGCAGGTCAAAGAATGGAACAAACTTGCTGTGCCTCTGAGTGAGTTGCTGTTCTGGCATCCCAACTGGAAAAGCAGGAATAGACAATGAGGTATCTGGCTAAGTCACATTGAGAACAACAACGCTGTCAATTTTTCTGAGCAGAACAAGGAAAGAAAATTTGGGCAGCAGCACAGTAGATACTTTGGTCTCGCCAAACTCTTACTTATTTATCGTGGTGAACTACTGCACCCTGGATAACGGAAATGGCATCGTGCTCATATAATACATGACAGGTTAGAGAACCGTATACAAGAAAATTTGATTGGTTGAGATGGATGCAGAGTGATGCTGGAGTACCAACTTGATACAAGGCCCCAATCCCTGCTCAGCCATGAAGCTGAGATGGTGGCCTTGGAGCAAGTCATGATTCTCCCAGCTAGACAGACCTCACAAGCTTGTAGTGAGGACAAAATGAACTACTTCCCCTGTGCCCTCGCATAGGACTCCCTAGGAGGAAGAGTGAGAAGCAACTTTGGAATAAATAAAACACCACACTCTAAGAACGTTTGCATAATTGATCTTAACTGGATGTGGGCTTTTTAAAGCAGATGGTGCCCTATTTAAGCGCAAGATCTTTCCTTTCCTTTTGGCAGCACCCGACAAGACCACAGCGCTATCTCTTCCATTTACTCATCTCAGTACTGACAGGAATCAGATTTCTGTTGCTTCTGATTTAAAAATAGCTTTTTTGCAGATAAGATTGCCTATTGATGAAATAATCTTTGTACCGCTGACACAACTAACATGCATCCGTGTCTAATGGACTATAGCATTGTTGTGCTGCTCTTGTCTGCTGGACCCTCAGTTAAACAAGGAATGATGAAAGTGAACCTGCCTGTCTGTTATTATGAAATTTAGCTTCACTTCTTTGAGCAGGCTGAATCCTTTTGAAGATGAAAAGAGTCTTTGGGATATTAAGGCTCCAGAACAAGAACACACAGAGGCAAGATATTTCTCTGACTTAGGGGGAGGTGGGTCTACTCCCTCGTCCTTCCCATGGGGAGCCACGGTCACTGGGGCCCTCATCTCCTCCCTCAGTAGCACAGAGACCCCTCTTCCACCACACAGCTGATTGGTCCACAAATTCCTTAGAGAATCAGAAAAGCTCTAGAGGAGATATCCCCATAGCTTGAAACCCCAGGGCCTAAAATAAGTCAAGTGTATGCAGAGGAAGCCAACAGCCCCTCTAACTGACCAGATCCAGATACCTAGCCCAGGCTGTAGAGATCTGCCAATGGGTTGTAGTCACATGAGTACACCCACTAAAATTTAATGACCATGACTAAATTAGATCCATTATTTTAAATGGGTGTACTCTGTATAACATTTTGTTAAATACAGCCCATTTGTTCCAGGACACTGCTGAGACAACTTGCATTTTCAATCGCAGCCGCAGATCGCTAACCATGGTCCTGAAATCCACCTCTCCGCCTGGGTCCCTCTCCAAGGTGGTGTCCTCACTTTCCACTCCTCCTTGCCTTTTCTTCTCCTGAAGATATCCCGCAAGGCAGCGGAGGTTTAGGATCAGAGTTTTCCTTCTCCCAGATGGGCTACCTTCCCAGGTTGATGAGCCCCACCTGCCCCTCACTGACCCTGGACCCACCTTTTGGTCTCGCACACTCAATCTGCCAGAGCCTGCCTACACATGCAGGGGAAGACACTTAGTCATTAAGGGTTTGATACCCATTGGCTAGTCATAAAGTAATCTTTAAGCAAAGACTGGTCCTCTATCTGCTGTTGGGTGCCAGCTCCTATCAGCTCCAGCCAGCATGGGTAACGGCCAGGGATGATGAAAATCGTAGTTCAGTAACATCTGGGTGGTCATAGGATCCCCACCTCGGTTTTAATGCCTACTAATTAAGGGGCATTAAATAAAGGGGCAGGGAGAGACTAACATATTTTCAGATTTTCTCTAAGTATAAGGTATAAACAAAGCAAGCTGGCTGCTTTATGCAGACCATCTAAATCTCTATGGAAATGGAAGAGGCTTTTGCGGTAGACCAGCTATCGTCTCAGGCTATCAAGTTCCAGTCCCATGCAGCTACAGTTCATTAAATCAGCTGTCACTTATAAGGACACAGTGAGTGATTAAAGTGGGGTTGGGGGAGAAAGCAGGGGGGACAAACCCCTACACGAATCCTAAGGTCAGCATATATTCCATATTACTTCCCAGTTCCATCTCAATAAATGCTAGCCGAGTTTCCAGTCTGCAAGTCCTCCCCCAAAGGCATCCAACATGACATGATCGTCCTGACAGCTGTGACAAATTAGGTTCAGTCTGCCCAAGAGCCAGCCAGCCAGCCATGTTCGTTTAGCTACAATTACGGGTGCATCATGATCCCCCCCACTTTGGGGAGAGAACGCACCCATCCAGCAACAATAAGACCCACCCTGTATGCATCAACATATTTAAATTGCTCCTCCATTACCACATCAAAAGGAGCAGGCGGATTCGTGTACATTAACACCCCCCTCAGGTGCTTTGAAAAATCTCGCTTTCATGCACTCCTAAAGGCCTTTTTTAATGCTTTGAATTATCCATCCGTAGACCCACCCCTGCTGCAGGACGCCGCTCTGAAGAATTAACAACAGCACTATGTTGTGGGACGACGCTGGGGGGAGGACCAATTTCTGCAAGTAGCACACAGACCAGGAAGCAAAAGTTAACCCACAGCAGAGTGTGCTGGGTCTGAAAACATGACTCAGAGCTAAGCTCTAGAGCAGGACTGGCGAATCTCCAGACTTCCAGATGTGCTAGGACTCCACATCCAACATGGGTTGTTGGGAGTTCTACTCCAGTGTCACCCACTCGTCTTTGTAAGGTGCCTAGAAAATTTTTAGAATAGTTGTAGTAGTTCTGGGCCTGCTGTCTTTGTCCATGGGGTTTTCTTGGCAGGGATACTGGACTGGCTTGCTGGTTCCTCCTCCAGGTGGATCACATTTGGTCTAAACTCTCCACTATGACATGTCTATCTTGGGTGGCCCTGTACGGCATAGCTCATAGCTTCTCTGAGTTATTCAAGCCCCTTCGCCAAGACAAGGCAGTGATCGGGGACGACAGAGGACGAGATGGTTGGACAGTGTTCTCGAAGCTACCAGCATGAGTTTGACCAAAATGCGGAAGACGAGGATGCCTTGCGTGCTCTGGTGCATGGGGTCATGAAGAGTCGGACATGACTAAACGACTAAACAACAACAACAGTAGTTCTGGGCACCTTGGAGCAGAGGCAGAATATGAAGAGCCGAAACGAAAGCGGTGTAAACTAGAAAAGGATTCCCCAAGGCACCTGAGAGCCAGCCTGCTTGTAGTGGTTAGAGCAGCCTTCCTCAACCTCAGCCCCTCCAGATGTTTTGAGACTACAATTCCCATCATCCCTGACCACTGGTCCTGCTAGCTAGGGATCATGGGAGTTGTAGGCCAAAAACATCTGGAGGCCTGAAGTTGAGGAAGCCTGGGTTAGAGTGTTGTACTAGCACAAGGGAGACTAGGGTTCAAGTCCCTGCACAGTCATGAAACTCACTGGGTGACCTTGGAACAGCCACGTATCTATCAGACTAACCTACTTCACAGGGTTGTTGCAAGGATCAAATGGGGAGGAAGAGAACCAAGCAGGCCACTTCCAAGCTCCTTGGAAGAAAATAAATAAGCCCTTATCAACATTATTTGTCTTCACAGCCAAGCAACATCAAGCGAATACCAAGGATGAACTCCACTGCAAAATGTATGCAGCTGGGGGGTTTTCAATCACTGTTGCTTCAGGCACCATTTGCTGTTTCAGACTTGTGGCCTCTCCAAACAGGTGGTTTATGTTCCCTCTTCCTCCCACTTCTGGGAAGCGCCTCCAAATTCCGCTTCCTT